AATTCCTTCTCCTCCATTCTCCTCTCAGGATCTTGGGCACGCACGCACACACGCCCGGCGTGAGTTTAAGCCACCGGGTCCAGGACACGCCCCGCGGTCGACTACATGGGAGTTCAGCGACATAGCCATTATGCAAACTGCTGGTCCCAATAAAATAATTCTTAAAAGATTGTTTAAATTAAAATAAGTTAATAAATAAAATTAAATAATTATATATAGAAAGAAAATGCCTGCCCTGGCATAATACCAACATGATAGCTTATGAGGTATAAATGAAATACAATGTAGGACTGGCCCAGTAGTGCAGCAGTTAAATGCTGTGCATAGAAAGCCATATCTCACATGGCTGACTGTGGTTTGAATCCAGTGCTGTCAGCCTGAAAAACATGACAAGCATTGTATATGCATGCTAAAATCCAGACAGGATGAAGAATAGGAGGAAAAAGTATTTCAACTTGGCCATGTCCCACCAGGGGTGCTTTCTCTCTGTCTCTGGCAAATACATATGCTTCTGACCATTTGGGAAAAAAAGAAAGAAATGGAATGCAATAGGATGACATACATATAAAAGCACACTGGTACATTAAAAAAAAAAAAATTGTAAAGAGCCACAGTAGTGGGCCAGTAGGTAGCATGGTGGTTAAAGATGCTGGATGCCCACATGGCTGACTGTGGTTCGATTCTTGAACCTGACAGCTTGCTTTCTCATTCTCTCTGTCTCTGGTAAAATTAAAACAAATAACAAATGAAGTTAAATAAAATAATTCCTTAAAAGAAAAAAAGAATCACAGCAGTATAAAACATCAGTATTGCTCATTTCTCCTGCAAGACTGTCCCTTTGTCCCACTCGCCGACCGAGCCATGCCATTTCATCCTCCATTGCTATTGGTAGGGCACTACGTTGCTTCGTTTCCTCACCCTTCAAGCCTACCTCAACCAGAACGTGTATTGTCTCTTTACATTTGCCTTAATGTGTGGTCAGTATGAATGTGCGAGGAGAGGAGGGCCACTTGGAATATGAGCAGAAAGAAACTGGGTCGGATCAATGAGGGTGCTCTAACAGCTCATGAGTGCTGGAGGTTTTGAGCTAGGGACTAACACGAGCTCATCTGTGTTTTGGGGAACCAAGTCTGGTGTCAGTATGAAGAATAAATCAGAGACAGGAAAAATGGAGGGCTGGAGGTCAATTAAAAAGTGATTTCACTATTTAAAGGAGATGCGAAGAGAATTTAGGGAATCTTGCAAAAGCAGAACAGACCGGTTTAGCGATGAAATGGTTGTGGATGGTGGAGAGAGGAAAGTGCCTCCTGGGTATTCTGTCTGTGTGAGCGAGGGAGAACAAATGATGGAGGATTTATTCTCTGTATGTAAGAGTGGTGGTGGGTGTTGGTAGTATTGGTTGGTTCTCTGGTTCTTTACTTTCCATTTTTTTATAACACTAATTGTAGCTGTGTTTTGACTTTTTTTTTTTCTCCTTCAATGGACTTTAAATTTAAGAAATGATTTTTCTTTTGGATCCTGTGCAAGCCTATTGTTAAAAAAGAATACATGCACATGAGATTAGCAGGTGGTGTGGTGGTTAAGGTGCTGGACTCTCCTACATGGCTGACCATGGTTCAAGTCCTGGACCTGGCAACTTGCTTTCTCTCTTTCCTCTCTCTCTCTCTCTCTCTCTCTGGTCAAATTAAAATAGATGAATAAATAAAATTAAGTAAAAAATAATTATTTATAAAAAAAAATACATGCACAATCGTTCACACCTTATCTCATAGCAAAGCATTTCATAAATGTTTCTGCTATGGATAGTCCTGGCATTTTACAAATGTTGCTGCTGTAGATAGTCTTGGCATTTCTTAGGTTTCTCTTTATTGTATCACAACAGCTTTTTTCCTTTTTTTTTTCTTAAAATAGAAAGCACATGCGTGTGTGTGAGTGAGAATAAGGTCTCCTCACCTGTTCATCCCTGTTCTCCATCCCTCTAGCTCTTCTGGATCTGTGTGTGTGTGTGTGTGTGTGTGTGTGTTTCCGAGACAACCTGGGCTCTGAACCGTGGTGGTCACATGGTTTCCAGCGCTGCAGAGCACCAATGTTAACTGCTGCTGTGGCTGGGTTTCAACAGCTTTTTGAAACATATTTTAGGAAAAAAAAAATTGTTTAGTACTCCAAAGAGAACTGGCTTGTCAGTAGGTGGTTAAATTTCATCAGGGCCGCGAAAGTCCTTGCAGAGTAAAAGCCGCAGATTATGTTCAGTGATAGCCTCTCAGTGTGATACGCAACTAGAAAGTAATCCACAATTAAGGAAGAAATAAAAGAGAAGTACTACAGCTTGTTCTTTATTTCCATAATAAAGTAGATAACGAGTGAATTAACTAAGGGGTGAGTCTTAGAAGGAAAAAAAGAATGATTCCAACAAAACAACACACTGGGTTCCCATTCCATCTTCCATCTGCGTGCGGTTTGCTTCCCCCTCCTCCTACTTTTAAATGAATGTAGTATGTTTTCAAGAAGCATAATGAAGCGGGGGCGCCCCGTCCTGGGCAGAGTTGTCCAGCAGGGCCAGAATGCAGCGTCCCCTTTCCCGACCTGAAGCACACGCGCGGGGTGGGAGCTTCGGAGACGCCCGGGCGCGGACTCCAGGCCGAGGCGCACTGGGTGCCGAGGTCAGCTCTGCGGCCCAGGTCAACAGCAGGCGACCGCGGGAGGCCGAGCGGACGTCCCCGCGCCCACTGTCTCCCGCCCTCCCTTTTATGCTGTAAGGGCCCCTGCCTGTCGTGCACGCGGCTC